TAGATGGCTGCCAAGGACCTCATTTGAAAGTACATGGTACTTTCTGGCACTAAATGGAAATTTTCATAAGGGAGGTATAACAGTTTTAAGTATATAATGTACCAAAAGTTGATATACTCAATTTTCTAAAATAAACACTATTGGACATAAAATAACAGATAGTAGCAAATAAAATAATAATGGCTAACATCAATACCACAATCCCATGCAAAGATCAATCATACAAACAAATCTAAAAGGAAACTTCAATTTAGATCAACTAGACTTACTAGACATTTACAAGATATTCCATTTTACAGCTACAGATTACCTATTCTTCCCAGCAGCCTCCTCCAAAACAGAGCACATTTTGTACCATAAAGCAAGATTTAACAAATACAAAGTATAGACATAATTTTTTGATTCTTAACAGAGTGTAATGGGATAAAATTAAAACCAATAGGAAGAGAAATATACAAATATAGATTCAACAATACGCATTTGAATGATCAGTGTATAATTGAAGAATCCAGGGATAATAAAAAATTGTCACAATCAATTGAAATGAAAATACTACATACCAATACTTTTAGAATATAGCAAACAATTCTAAAAGCAAAATTTAAAGCCATTATCCCAACAGTAAAAATTCAGCAAGGTTATCAAATAGCCTAATGATGCAGCTCAGGGTCTTTGAAAAAGAAGAATAAAAGAAATGCCAAATAAGTAAATGGAAAAAATAATAAAGATCAGGACAGAAATTAAAGAAGAATAGTCTAAAAGTACCACAAAAAGGAACAAAGAATTGTTTATAAAGGTAAAACCAGATTGAAATGCCTAAGCCAAAGTAACCTTCTTCCCACAAATAGAGACCAAAATTAATAAAATTTCATGTGAAATGGAGATATTATAGCAGATACCAATGAAATACAGAGAATTATTGCAGATATTATGAAAACATATTTCAATAAATTGGAGAATCAAGAAAGCATGTTTTCTTTCACACATGGAAGATAGATCCAAACATAAACGTATACACAAAAACAAGCATGATCATATACAAACTCAGATGTAGAACATGATTGTAAGAGTGGACCTAATCTATGGAACTTGGTGAAACAGCAAAAGGAAAAGTGAATGACAGAGCGTCAGTAATATCATATAACATAAGAAGTGAAAGTAGAGGATGTAAGGATGTATATTGAAAACCTGTTGAAAAATGGGTGATGGGAGATAAAGGGGTAAGGGAGAGTATTCCAAGGGATTGAACAGACCAACGTAAAGCACACCCATACTAGGCATACCTCAAGATTCCCCTTTGAACATCAAATATTCATAATGAAAACCAGTTCTGTAAAATAGGTAGAGTGTGTGTATGGAGGGTAAATAGTGTTAGGGGAGAGGGTGAAGGAAGGAGATTAAGGTGAAGGAAGGAGATTAAGGTGACAGTATGGTCGATGGACTTCATATACCTTTATGAAACAGAACTAAAAAAACCTCTTGCAATTGCTTTAAGTGGGCTGGGGAGGGAACTAAGGTAGAGAGACAATGGAGGCAATGTAAATAATGTACAATATAAGTCTAATTGGAATTGTGTCTATGAATCCCCACCCATATATTCAATATATCCTAGTGAAAAATTTATAATAAAGAGAAAGAAAATGGATAAATTTCTAGATACACTACCAGCCAAAATTGAATAAAGAGGATATAAACAACCTAAACAGATCTGTAGTTGCTAATGAGATGAGGAAGTAATAGTCTCCTCATGAACAAGAGCCCAAGACTAGGCAGATTCCCTGCTGATTTCTACCAGGCAATTAACGAACAAGAATGCTCCCTAAACTATTCCATAAAAATGGGAGGAATGCTACCAAGCTAATCATAAGAAGCCAGGATTTCCCTGATATCAAAACTGCATAAGGAAAAAACAAACAAATAAACAAAAACTACAGACCACTTTGATGCTTATAGATGCAAATATCCTTAAGAAATACTTGGAAACCTAATTCAACAATACATTAAAGACATGCTACATCACAGAATGTAAACTAGTACAACCACTATGAAAATCATTATGGAGGTTCCTCAAAATACTAAAAATAGACTTAAGACTCCACCACCCACTCAGGGCACATACCCAAGGTGAATAAATATACAAGGCAGACACCTGCATGGCCATGTTTATTGCAGCACTCTTCACAATAGTTAAACTGTGGAAACAGCCAAGGTGTCCTCCAACAGATGAATGCATAAAGAAAATATTACCTAAAATGGGTGACCAGATAATAATGGAGCATGACTGAAAATGGGATAATGATGGAAATAACTGGGAAGGAAAAAGTCAGAACATTCACCTCTTAAAGGAGTTAGGCTTATAGCTCCTTGTCAGTACACAGCTCTCAAAGCAGAAAAAAAAAAGAGATAATATTTTTTCCACCCCCAAACTCTTACAGGCTGCTGGATCCTAGGCAGTTGATACCCTTTCTTCCTAATAGGTGGAAGCCCAGTCAATTGGCATATGCTTTTTCTATTGGTTCGGACTGGCTTGTTATCATTCCTTGGAATTAGACAGGATTGAAACCATTTAACATTTTGGGCTCACAATTGATGGCCTACAAGGTGGGTGATCTTACAGGTGTTTCCAATTTGTGAAGAAACACCTCCCCAATCTCAAGTTTCAGAACAAGCAGCAGAAAATTACCTATTTGTAGATCTTCCCAAACTTATAGAATACTAATGCTGTCCTAGAGGTTGTTTGTGCCAAATGGAGGGCTCCCTCTGGGAAATTTTCAGTGCAACTTGCTGTATGGATCTTGTTCACTCTCCCATCTTCCCTGTTTGGAGTATAAAAGTTTTGATCAGAAGGCAGATCAAACCCCTAGGGAAACAGGCTGGGTCAATGGAAGATCCAAACACAGAGCTTGTAGGAAAAGGAAAGCCTTCTAGGGAACAGTGCAAAGTGCAAGTAAGTTTTGAAGGACAAAAAAAAAAAAATCACAATGATAGCACACACCCGCAATCCAGGCCACTGAGGAGGTATAGGTAGGAGGATGGTGGTCTGAGAAAAAAATTTTTTTTTTACCTTGTGTTTTTCCATTATTTAAACACATATGGATGGTGAGTGGGAACAAGGGTAATCATTACCAATCACATAGTCCCTTTAATTTTGCACCAGTTCTCCTACAGTGTGCTTTGCAAATAAAGGATTGTGTTTCTACCAATCACAGGTCTTTTACTAGGAGGAAATGTCTTGACTAATGGAAGTGGCTGATGTAGCTGTTAGTGTTCTGTTGACCTGAAGTTTGTTCAACATCTCAACATATTTGGCCAACATCTCAACTTATTTCAAGGACAAAGAGCTTTCCACTGGGTATTTATAAAAAGACTTAACAGCAAAAGTACTTTAACAATATTTAATAGTGTTCTAGCAATTCTTAACTACTGCTTCACTCTTTCAGATATAGGTGGGCACCTACCATCTGTTTCAGGAGGACTTACCAATGGATAACCCTGTTTCAGGACAGTAACACAGTTTTCTCAGATTGGTCTACTGCATATCAACACAATCTAATGAAAACTTGGGGTCTTAGTGAAAGCAGAGTTTTGATCCTGAGACCCAAACTCCTGAGATTCCATATGCCTGGTTCAGCCACCCCCCAAATGCCAAATATAGGGGCATGGTGAAGGCAGAGGAAGATTTATTACAAGGCTTGGGACATGCTGTGGGAGAGGTAGAGTAAGTATTCAGCTCATGTTCAGCAATCTACAGATACAGACATGAGTTATACCTTCAAGTATACAAAAAACTGGGGTTAGGGGACACACCTATGCATAGTTAAATAGTCCCAGTCATAATTATGTACTGGATGACTATTTTCTCAGTCCAAGGGTACCCAGAAGGGTTCTGGAGAAGATGCTATCCCATCATGACCTGAGAGGAGCAATCTGCTTTTCATGAAATGATTATACCTGGGTGCAGCCAGGTATTTGTATTATAAGTAATTGTCGTCGTTTGGAAGGGTGGTCTGTCCTGCAAGTGTCTGCTGTTCCTTATGGGAAGTTTCAGTCCCTTGTCATAAAGATGTTATCAGTTCTGTCCTTCCTGAAAGTGACTACAAAGAGAATGGCTTAGAGCAAAGACAGATACAAAGTGGAGGCAGGAATGCCAAGCTTCTCCTGTTTTTATTTAATTTGCGGGCTTATGTAAGAAGTCAGTGCTTATAGAAAAAGCAGTTTGAGCACCTCTTACATTTAACCCACAGAATAGTGCTGTTTCTTGAGCTTGCAGGCCCTCTCATCTGAAGGGTGTATTTTCCCTTTGCTTTCCACTAATAAGCCTTCTCCTATTTAAATTTCCTGTCAGTGCATGAATTCATTCCCTGTGGAGACCAAGTCTTTGAATGCAGTAACAGACAGATGCGGTTGAAGTGTGAGGAGCTATGTGCTATCCAAGATGGCAACTATGAGAGGACAGCGAGAAAGGGGAAACTCACACCATGAACAATGGGTATGGGGAGCAGTGTTACATTACCTTGGGAGGACCATGGGATCTTGGAGCACAGGGCAGGGAACTGTGGACTCAGAGTTGAGTCCCTGTGTTTGTCTCCAGCTTTACCCTAGAGCCCTAAGCTCAGATCGGGAAGTAAAAACCAACTTCCAGCTTGGTGCTTTGTCCAGCCTTGGTCTTCAAGAGGCTCAGCCCCAGGGCTGACTCAGGGCTCAATCCCTTCCACAGACCCAGGCCTGATTGGGACCTAAAGGAAGTACTGCCCTGGGAGCTAATTGGCCTGCCTCCTGTAGAGGCCTGCCTTGCAACCCTTCTGCCATGACCCAGCAGGCTGCAGGGATAGATAAGGTTGAAGTTCTCCTAAGGAGTAAGTTAAGGAGGGATTTAGAAAAAGAACAGGTATCTGCCAAGGCTGACATGAAGCCCTGGGAGAAAGCTGAAGATGGCATTGCCAGTGTCCCACCAGGGCTCTCTTGTCTTTTGTTCCAGGGGATTGCAGGACCACTTGTCTCCTGTGCACCCAAATCGAGCGCTTGGAACTACGTTACCCAGAATGCTCTGTAACGAATAGGAAGATGTTTAGCCAATGAACAGTCAGTAATGAAACGCTTCCAGGTTTTCGGGTTCGCATTGGGATGGGACTTCCGGCCTCATCCTGTGACGCAATTGTGTGATCTGTGCTTAGTGAGGCTTTTCTGACTGGGGAACGTGAAATCAGGATCAAGATTACGCAAGTGGAAAAGCAAGGACGTGGCGACATTGGGTTGTCCACAGTGCACCGCACTTTTTCCGAGGGACATTTGAGGTGACGGCCTTTTCCTGATACTTATAGCCTCTGAGCAGCATGGCGGCCTCTGCGGGGAAGGATCTGCCTCAGGTAAATGCCGCGTGTTTCCGCCAAACAGCCTTCAGACCACCCGAGTGATAGGGCATGGTTTGGGGCTCCTCATTGAGCCACTATACTCTAGTCTTTGTGTCCAAGTCACAAGAGGTGGTGCGGTCGTCTCTGCACTCAAATGCTCTACTACTTACCTATACCCAATTTTTTTCTTTTTTCTTTTTTCTTTTTTTTTTTTTTGAGGTCCTCAGGGCTTCTCCCATTCAAGGCAGGGACGCTACTATTTGAGACAGGCTTCCAGCCTGCGGCTCCAGATTTCTTAAGCTGCTAAATGAGGTAGAGTAGGCTCCACCACCCCTAATGCCCGCTCCTAATGATGGCAGCACTGATCCCCATGTTATTCTTCAGCACGGGACGGACGGACAGACATCATCTAAACTCAGAGACTGGAATCCGAACTCGGCAGAGTCGCATATTGCTCAGGAAAGGGAGGTGAATTGAGGGTCAAGCTAGGACCCCCAGGTGTGCGGGGTGGGCACCGTAAACATGGTGTGCAGATGTGAACCCTGTAGCTATAGGGACAGGACAGTCTGATAGGGTGTCCTCATGGTGCCATGGGTGATGCATGTGTGGATGCTGATGTCTGGGTGTTACTGAAGAACCTGATGCTGAAGTCAAGATCTTTGCTCTTTTGCTGCACTTCAGACTCACCAATTACGTGGTGAGCCTTGGTGTATCTGGGGTCTTTCAAGAGGTGTATTAGTTGCTTAGGGCACAGTGGTCATAAGCTACTGTGAATGAGTCTGAAGAGGAAGACCACTCAGGCTAGACAAAGAATAAGAATTATTGGCGGGATAAAATCTGTAACTAGAGAGCGGACACGAATGGCACAATGGGTGGTATAGGGCCAAGGATGTTTTCAGATCCATTGGTGGCTCTTGGAGCCTGAGGATGAAGCAAGAAGAGAGTCAGGGAGGAAGGCTTTTAGACTAGGTTGTGAGGCTGATTGTGGCATTGGGGACTGGCAGTGCACTGGGATCATTTAGATCATATTTCTGTTTTCTTTGTAGTCTGGATACCTGCTGTTGAATTACATATAGGTACAACAGTGATGTCCCTAGGAGGTGGGAGTGGGTAGGAGTGCCTGTGGATGTGGGGCATTGTGAAGTAATAACGAGGGCTTAAGAAATGTGGAGGAGTCCTGTGGAATAGTGTCCTTAGGGTCCTGGAATTGAGTATATGAATAAAGGGTGCCATAACATATTGCAGGTGAGTCTGGATTTTCCAGGAGTGCCTTTGTGAGACTCCTCTGAGTTTGGATACCAGGCTGTTAATTTAGATGATGTCTGTTCATCTCCTTGATGGTGTAGAACAACACAGAGATCAGTGCTATCATTACCTGTGAGTAAGCATCGGGGGGCACTGGAGTCTGTTATCCCTGTGGGGTAGAGAGTTTGACATGAGGGAGAGCAGGGGATGGATGAGTGGAGTAGTAACTTGGAGTCCTGGGAACGAAGGTGAACATAGACTAAACTTCCTAATAGAGGCAACACTGCCTTTCCACAGCCAGAGTGTTGGTCTGATAACATCCCCCGATCCATAACTATGAGATAGCTGTTACTCCTAAATAGACTTGAACTCTCTGTCCAGTCTTCTTGATAACCTTGTCAGCTAGTGGAGGAGCCTGAATTTGAGTGTGGAGCTGCCCTTTATGAATCTGTCACTGTAAGCCTGTTAAATCCTTGAAACTATAGCCAAACAGATACCCTCAGGACCATTCTAGGGGGCAGGATCTCCACCTGTTCTTGGGTCATCCTTCCTGTTCCTAATTTATTCTCTGAAGTGCCACCATGTCGAACCAGCTCTTCAGTCAACAGTACATGAAAATCTGTATATAGTATTCATTTCCCTTCCAGATAGGAGACATGCATGCAGACTGTCTCAGTGAGTCTATGCATGATGTGTCCTTTTGAATCAGTAGCATTTACAAACAGCTGAAATCATGATATCTGCACAACACAACAGCTATAGAGAGTACTGCTCCACCTGTAGTGTCTGATGCCAACTACCATGCTGAGGGACCTAGCTTGGGATTTGGTCTCATAGTCAGGGACCCATAATATCACTGCACCTGAGGATAGGACCTTGTGAGGTAACTGCCACTGTCACTAAATTTTATGTCCTTTGTTGCTAATGGTAGAGACCCAAAATATGAGGAAATCAATTTAAACCCAAGTGTTTTTAGTGCTGGTATGTGTTCCTGGCAGCAGGACCACTGTGTGTAAATCCTGTTGAGGGAGTTGGGAGCATGTTGGTGAGTAGAGGCATTTTACCTTTATTCTAAGTGTGCCAGTAGCCATGGTACATTGTGAACAGAAGAGGTACCTTGTCTCCTTTAGGCTTTTCAAAGTTTTCCAAAAGCTGCTCCCAGTTAAAAGAAGGCAGATGATGACACTGAAGTAAGGGAAACTCTCCTGTGCTGTGTCTTAGAGCATTGCAGGGTGAACATTTAGGACTGAGGCTCAGCTAATTCCATGATCTAGGCCTCCTGTCTCCAGTGTGGACTGAACCAGTGGATGTCCTTTTGGTTTTCTCCTGTCAACTTGTGCCCCTAAACATGTGATTGGCACTGAGTGGAGGATGTTCTAGTGCCTCACTCACCCTGACCTCACACACTGTCTCTGGGTTATGTCTGGGACTCCTGCCACTGTTTCAGCCCTTGAGCCTAGGGATTCTGAAACAACCTGAGTGTAAAGGTGCAATTCCTTGGAACTAGTGGAATAGGGTGAAAGGTTATCCCAGGCACAGATGTCAGAATGTACAAATGCAGTGAGGAGGATGAACTGTGTCCAGGAGTGTAGGATATTTTTCACATGGGAGCTATACATGGGTGTGGCACAGTGGCTGTATAGAAAACTAAGATTTTCTTGAGGAGATGATGGGAGCAATGGGCAGTTGGCACAGAGGAGGAAGTGGATGTGACCCATGTCTTAGCAGGTTCCCTGTGAGTAAAACATGGAGAACAGATTGTGAGGTGTGAATGAGGTAATAGGAAGATTAGGGAGGAGGCTGCTGCCAAGATCTAGGTGATGTTTAATTGTGGTTTGAGCACTATGGTTGGGGAAGAATTGGGCAATGTGCATGAATCCAGGATGTCAATATTAATTAGGACTTTTTGGTGTTGGGAGCAATATTAAAACAATTTCATTTAAACATCTTAAATGGACTTGTTTTAGTTCTAGCATCCAACAACAATTCATTCCGTAAAAGAGAGTAAGTGTACCATTGATCTGGGTTGATGAAGTTGGTTTTATATACAGAGAATGACTAAAGAAAGCAGAGACAGAACAAGAATAAAGCAGATGTCCATCCCAAAGTTGCTTTCCTTGAAAGATGAAAAGGTAGACAGAAGAGGATAATAGTTGATTTGTTAACATTATGGTATTTCAGGTTACTTTTGCATTTCTTTGGTTTTTTTTCTTTGTTTATTTTACTTTTGCTGTTACTGGGGTTTGAATTGGCTCTATCACTTGAACCACACCTCTATCTCAGGTTGCTTTCATTAATTATCCTGTCCCCAGAAACTGGCCTTTTTGGAAAATTGTACTAACTCTAGATTTGCTGATTTTGAGAGTAAAGGAAGGGTGAATGTTAAGGGTGAATAAGATTTCTGAATTTTTAGCAATTGAGAAAACAGTGTCTCTTATAGGAACAATTTTGGTGGAGATGTCAAGATGTTTGTATTTTCACCATCTAAAGAGTTTTAAAGTTTGAAGGAAGCATTACTAGAAACCTGAAGAGGGCAGATATCCATAGAGGTGTGAAACTCTGGAGAAAATTCCAAATGGAGACATGGGGAAGGTGGTGACCAGTATCTGCCTTGGGGTATATCTGTGACTCTGCCAATTGCAGTATGAATGGGGAATCCTATTCATGAGATGATCATGTTCTTACCAGTCTTGAAAGAGTAGGCTGATCTGGGTCCAAAGTACACCACGTGGGTGGGATGTAGCCCATCGAAAAACCGGGTGTGGAAGAGAAGAGGTCACGCGAACATCCTAGCAGTCAATATGGTCTCGCAGACTATCAGAACTTTCAGAGGATGAGGATTGTGGGATGAAATTAGAGGCCTAGAATAGTTGCTGTGTGTTGGCACTTCAACCAGAGGTAGTCCTTTTATTCACTCTTGTATAGGCTTGGTGAGGATGTGGTGACTGGTGAGAGCCATCAAGTACACCATTAGTTGTGAGGGGCATCACAAATGTGAGGGTCAAGTACTTAGTGGCAAAGGTGCACAGTCATCGTAGCTTTCAGAGTAGTGTGTGGGTTGCCTCTGACAGTGGGCACAGCTGTGTCCTGTTTGTGACAAACACAGTATGGACACTGTATGCCTAGGGGAATAGGGCGGGCAGAGTAGTACCTATATTACGGGGCTAGAGGGCAGAAATTGCTGGGAAGCATGTTTGTGACACCAGTGGTCGAAAAAGTGATGTGTACCTGGAGGGAGCATATGAAATGCTAATGCTGTGGACATGAAGCTGAAAGGTGAACCCATATTAGGTTACCACTGAACAGTAGTGTCTGGAGGACACTTGTGCAGTTGACTCATGTGAATGGATATTGCCCTGTATGCCAATTCCAGGAGTTAGATTGTGTCTCCCTCCTCAACAGTATTAGTGGTGTTGGAGGAAAGAGTAATCAAATATGCATACAGGGGAGATTGCCTCAGTAGCACTGGCCTCTGTTATCCTTTATGAGGTAGTGATGGTGACACAGGGGTAAACAGCGGATGGATGTAGGGGAATGGGTTGGATCAACATGGAATCACTTTTCAGAGAGAACCTGATCATTAGTATTCTGTTCTAACTATGGCAGGCCTGTACGACCTTACAAAATGTGATCATTTCCTTCTCTCAGGAGTAGTGGAAGTTTTGTAATGCAGCTCAATTTGCACTTATAACCTCCATAGGTAAAGTCATGACATTAACCCATATTCTGGTTTTGCTTGTGTGCTTTTCCCCATAAGCAGCTTGACCTCTTCAGTGCTAGTTGTTGGGGTGGTTAATGTATACATTTTATTAGTGGGTGTGTTGTAGTTGCTACAGCTGAACCCTGTGTACTTCCCTGAGTTGCCTAATAGCTGGTGCTATAATGAGAACAAGCACAGATTCAGGAAAAAGATGTGTGGCAGTTAACTTAATAGGTCTTGCTTCAGTCACCTGCACCCAGACAGTGTGACTGTTTAGATGTATTGGCCTAGTTGTGCCCCCTTCCTGACTTTTCATACAGCTCTTTGTTTGAGGATCACCAGGCATTGCCATGATTAATCTACATGGGCTGTGGGTAATCTGCCAGACTTCCTTCCAGTCTTCTTTGTAATACTGTTTTTCTTCCCTCTTGTTTCTTATCTGTAGAGTTGCCTGGGATCACTCCCTAGTGAGATGGTTTGTATACCTGTCCTGAACTGTGCATGTGGGGTACTGGAAAAATCCTGATTGCTTTCTCAGGCAGATGATCTCAGAAATTTCCAGTGCAATTGAGGAGCATGATCCATGATCCAGACCTCCTGACCCCAGGGTTGACTGACTCTGTTGAGGCCTTTTTGTTCATCTGCCTGTCATTCAACACAGAGTTCCCTGTCTAAAAAAGAGCTTGTGCTGCTAAATATGTAACTGGAACTGTTTGGAGGATGTTCTTCTCCCTCACTACCCCTGATTTCCCATTGTGTCTCTGGATTATGTTTGGCACTTCTCTGCCACTCTTTCAGCCCTTGAGCCTAGGAACTCTGAAAAACCCAGTGTCCAGGGTTGTAATTCCAGGCACACTGCATAAGGCACAGTAACTGGCATTGCTTGCAACTAGTGGAATGTGGGGTAAAGGTCATCCCAGGCATAGGTGTCAGAATGCAAATGCAGGGAGGTGAGGCTGAACTGTTTCTGGGGACCACAGGGTATTTTCTTCATGGGAACTGTGAATGTGAGTGTAGCACATGGGCCTGGAATGGCTCTGTACAAAGTTAAGATTTTCTTGTGAAGATTGTGGGAACAATGGGAGATTGGCACAGAGAAGGAAAGGGATCTGACTCCACCGACTTCTTAAAGGTTCCCTGTGAGTAAAGCAAAGAAAACAGACTGTGGTGTGTGAGTGAGGTAATAGGAAAATAAGGGTCCTCCAAAGGTCCAGGTAATGTTTGCTGGTGTGTGGAGCAGTGTGGGTACTGAATAATTAATTGGAAAATGTGGGTGGATCCTAGATCTCTTAATTAATTAGGCATTTCTGGTGTCAAGGAAGAAACTTAGAACAATTTCATTTAAAGACCTTAAATCGATTTAATTTACCTTCTAGTTTCCAGCAATACTTCATTCCATAATATTGAAGTTATTTTTATATACAGAGAATGACTAAAGAGAGCAAAAACAGCAAAAAACAGATTGGGTATCCCAAAGCTTCTTTCCAAGTAATTTGAAGAGTGAAACAGAAACAAAAAAGGACTGTGGGTGATTTGTTATCTCATGGTATTTCTAGTTGCTTTTTCTTCCTGTTGTTTTTTTTCTCCTCTTTGGTGATACTGGTGCCTTTGGCACTTGAAGTACATCTCCATCTTAGGTTACTTCTTAATGTAGGGATTTGCTTCAATATCCTCTCCAAAAGCAGTGGCCTTTTTGGAAAATTGTGCTAACCCCAGAGTTTCTGATTTTAAGGGTAAAGAAGAAAGTAAATGTTAAGGGTGATGTAAGATTTCTGGATTTTTTTAGCAGTTGAGAAGAGAAAGTCTGTTGTAGGAACAATTTTAGTGGAGATACCAAGAAATTGGATTTTTACCATGTTAAGAGTATGAATCTTTCAGGAAGCATTAATAGAAACATGAAGAGGACAGGTGTGCATATACATGTTACAGTATGGAGAAAATTCTTGATGGAGACATGCAAAAGCTGGTAGCCAGGGTCTGCCTTGGGGTGCATCTATGCCTTTGTTGATTGCAGTACAGAAGGGTAATTGTAACCATGGGATGATTGTGCTCTTTCCAACCTTGAAAGATGAGGCTGATCTGGGTTTCAAGTACAACACCTGGGTGGGGATGGTGTCCATCACAAAAACAGATATTTGACAGGGGTTAGAGAGATGGTCTGAGAGGTTACCAATGCTTCCAAAGGATGAAGGCCTTGAGATGGAATCAGAGGCCTAGAAAAACTGCTGCAAGTTGACACTTCAACCACAAATGGTTCTTTTATTCACTCAGCTATAGGCTTGGCAAATTTTTCTTATAACCGTGGAGGTGTCTGAGAAGTTTCAGATTGCCAAAATTTGGGGTGCCAGGTTATTACCTAGGTGAGCCACTTGCTTATGTGGAACGTTGGGAATGAAGGATAGCAGGTGAGGATGCTGTGACTGGTGAGAGACATCAAGTAAACCATTAGTGGTATGGACCATGGAAGTCTGGGAATTGATGACAGTTCTCAATGGCCACAGTGGGAGCACAGGCATCAGCCTTCAGAGTACTGCATGGGTTGCTTCTGACAGTGGGCACAGCTGTGTCCAATTTTCACCAACCACTCTGGATAGGGTACACTGAGGCATATACAGAGGGCAGAGAAGTACCCATATTATTGGACTAGAGGGTGGAAATAGGTGAGGATTGTGTGTGCAAGAGCTATGGACTAAAATGTGATATGCACCTGGAGGGAGCATGGGAAATGGTGGTCCTGTGGACTTGCTGTTGATGACATGGGATGAAAGGTGAGCCCACATATGGTTGTCTCTGAACAATACCATGTGGAGGACATTTGTGCAATTGACTGACATGAGTGGATATAGCTCAGTATGCCCATTCCAGGAGTTAGATTATGTCTGCCTGCTCACGTCCAGCCGGTGATGTTAGAGGAAACAGTGATCAATATGCATAGAGGAGAGACTCCATCTCAGGAGGTTGGCACCTGATAGCCTCTCTGAGGTGGTTAGGGTGAAACATGGGGTACCAGAGGAGGGATGTAAGGGAATGGGTCATATCAACATGGAATCATCCTAGGAGAGAAGCTCATCATAGATGCTTGTTCTAACCATGGCAGGGCCGTGCAGTCTTTGAAGATGTGGCCATTTCCTTCTCCCAGGAGGAATGGGAGTTCCTTAATGCAGTTCAGAGGCACCTGTACCTCCATGTGATGCTGGAGAACTTCGCACTTGTAACCTCTGTAGGTAAGTCCATCACACTCACCCAGATTCTAGTCTTTGCTAATTTTCTTTTTCCCAGAAGCAGAAGTGTCTTTAATGCTACTTGCTGGGCTGTGTTAACTACCCACTTTTTTGTGGGTGTGTTGTAGTTGCTACAGCTGAGCCGTGTGCATTTTCCTGAGCTCCCTAACAGCTGCTGTTATAATGAGTATGAGTACCGATTTGGCAGGAGTGTGTTTGGCAGTCCTTAATAGGTCTTGCCTCGATCACCTCCACCATGACTGGATGCCTGCTTAGGCCTTATTATGCCTCTTTTTCCTGACATTTCATTACAGCTGTCTGCATGATCATCACCAGGCATTGATGATCACTTGGCCAACTTACTGTTTTGTCAGACCACCTTCCAGTTGTCTTTGTTATATTGGTGTTTTCCTCCCTTGTCTTGAGTACTGATTTACCCAGGCCGCTGCTGATAGATTACATGCACTTTATCTGTAGGTAGTTGGTTTGTGTACCTCACCTAAACTGTGCGAGTTGGGTGCTGGAAAAATCCTGGTAGCTACATTGGGATAAACACGGAAAGAGGATCTCAGAAATGTTTGGTCCAATTAAGGGATAACTGATGGAGGTCATGACATCTGGGCTGTTTGCATTTGATGAGGAAGTTGTCTGATATCTTTAGGGTTCTACATGCAATGTACTGCATCCTCTGTACGGCTCTCCAAGAGAAACCTGCAGCTAATAGAGTTTGTGGTGAGAACATAGCCTTCACTATTGCCCATATGTAGTTCAATCTTTTTGGCCAATAAGCCTCAGGCTGTCTTTTTTTCTAAATTTAGGTCTTTTTTTAAATTAACATATCATATTTATACTGGGGTGAATTATGACATTTACAAAAGTGATTACAGTATACCTTAGTTAGATTCACCGCCACCCCCATCTTTCTCCTTTTTTCAATTCTCCCTCTTTGTAGAACCATTTCAACAGTTCTCATTGTTTCACTTTCATATAATATCACATAGTTAATTTGAAAAATTTTTATTACCCAATTGTTGTACTTCAGCACATTGTGATATTTACAAAAGTGCTTATTCAGACAGTCTTTTATACAGCATGCACTTGTCACCAGCTGATGGGATTTTATTGAATAAGATTGTGTGGATAACTGAGCAATATGGCTCAAGTCTGTGATCCTAGCTACTCAGGAGGCAGAGATCAGGAGGAACAGGTTTCATAGCCAGCCATGCAAATAGGTCATGAGACCCTGTCTTGAAAAAACCAAACACAAAAAAGGACTTGTGTAGTGGTTCAAGGTGTAGGTCCTGAACTCAAGCCCCAGTTCCAAAAAAAAAAAAGTTTGTGCAGTGATTTGGGGCATTTTCATTGTAATTCATGGAATGGCATTACCTGAAGGCATTTTGCCACTTGTCCCTGTTCTCCATGTCACCTCCTTTCCTGTGCTGTTTGCAAGATTCCACAGTATTTAGAAGCCAGTTGTGTGAAGCAAACCCTTGGACAAAATGAGCCCTGCTTCCATTTTCTAAAAACATTCCTATAGTGTAGCTTGTGTACATAGTGATAGGCTAGCCCTGGGCTTCTCTCAGCAAGTCCATAATTAATAAAAAGCTTACAACCCTTGTAATATTATGGGTTGGCCCTACTCCCACCAGTGTCTGCATGCATTTCATTGTGCTTTCTCTGCTTTTAGGTTGTGCACATAGAGTAGATGATAAGGAGGCATGGATGCACACTGTTTTTCTGGAAGAAGTGTCACACTTGAGGACTCCAAATGCAGGTCCCTCCACCCAGAAGATTCACCCCTGTGACATCTGTGCCTTTGTCTTGAAAGACATTTTGCACCTGGCTGCTCCACTTGTGCAGAAGCTATACATGATTAGAGAATGTGCATGCCTAGCCCAGAAGCATCACACTGCAGAGAATCCCTTGAAGTGGGACATGGACAGGACTTCATTTGAGAAGAGCTGTGAATTATTTGTGTCCGGGAAATGGTTCAATTTTAAAGACCTTTGGAAAGATTTCCCAGCTCTTTTTGGCCTTCCAAAACCCCACGTCATTTGTAATGGTGAGAGGACAAATGATGCTGAATTAGAGGAGACCTTTAACAATGGAAAAAGTTATTCCAGGTTGGTTAACAGAAGCAAGGCTTCCAGCCATAAAAATGTGGCTTATGATAACCTGAGAATCCACAGTGGAAAAAAGCTTTATGAGAATAGGAAGCCTGAGAAAAACTTCCATGATGTCAACTCACTTGGTCAGCACCAGAGAGTTCACATTGAAGACAGGCCTTATGAGTGTAGAGAATGTAGAAAACCCATGAAAGAAAGAAAGGCCCTTATTATACACCCAAGAGATCATACTGGAGAAAGGCCTTATGAGTGTAGAGATTGTGGGAAATCGTTTAAGGAAAGACATGCTATTGTTATACACAAGAGAGTCCACAGTGGAGAAAGGCCTTATGAGTGTAGAGTATGTAGGAAATCTTTTAAGTACATAAGTGATACAACTAAACACCCGAAAATCCACACTGGAGAAAGGACTTATGAGTGTAAAGTATGTGAGAAATCCTTTAAGCGAGGACGTGACCTTACTGAACACCAGAGAGTCCACAGTGGAGAAAGGCCTTATGAATGTAGAGAATGTGGAAAATCCTTTAAGGGAAGATCTGTTCTTACAAGACATCAGAGAGTTCACTCTGCAGAAAGGCCTTATGTGTGTACAGAATGTGGAAAATCATTTAAGCACATAAGTGTTATAACTGTACACCAGAAAGTTCACACTGGAGAAAGGCCTTATGAGTGCAGAGAATGTAAGAAATCCTTTAAACGATTAAGTGAACTTACTGAGCACCAAAGAGTCCACAGTGGAGAAAGGCCTTATAAATGTAGAGAATGTGGAAAATCCTTTAAGGGAAGATCTGCTCTTACAAGTCATCAGAAAGCTCACTCTGGAGAAAGGCCTTGTAAGTGTAGAGAATGTGGAAAATCCTTCCTGGAAATAGGTACCCTTTTGGTACACCTGAGAGTACACACAGGCACAGGTTTATTGACTGTGGACAATGAGGAAAATTCTTCAAACAAGGTCACTTAATTTACACTAGAAAGTCCAAGTGGACAAAGGGCTAATGAAGAATATGGGAACGTGTTTGAGCACACATTTAGTCTTACTCATCAGAATAATCTCTCAGTGAGGAAAACTCTACTATGATTTTGAGTTGTGCACATGTATTTTGAAAAGGAGCTTGAATTGTTTTTCCCAACTCAGACTCGAGCAATCTTCTGCACAGTTCACTTGTCACCAACTGGCAAGATTTTACTGAATATGGTTTTGTGGTGATTTTGGCAGATTTTATGGCTGCTCATGGATAATAGTACCATGAAATGGCTCGTTGTGTTACTGATCACCAGAAGATTCACAATGAAGAAAGACCTTTTGAGTATAAAGAATGTGGGCAATACTTTCATCGAAGATATGCCCTTACTGTATACCAGAGAGGCCATACTGCAGAAAGGCCTTAGAAGTTTGTGTATTTGGTGAGCATTATAAGAGTTGTTCTTCAGGTTCTGGACTCTGCAAGGCCTTGACCAGAAGGAAATCATTTCTGCACTATTTTAGAGATGCCATTTGCTTCTACCACCATGAACTTCAGGGGAAAAAACAAAACATAACAAAAAACTACCATGACATGCTAAGGCAAGGAAGATATGCGTGCTTCTGTTGCAAATTCTGTGGGCAACTTTATTTGGTTTGCTGTGTGATCTTGCCATGTAACAATACCTGTATGACCAAATGTACTCAGTTCTGATTAGCTAGAGGTTTGCAAGGAAGGCTTAGCTTCTTGGACGATTTTGGTGTCTTATGATACTTGTAGTTGGTATTTTTACCATCAAGTCTCTAATTGGTAACTGTCTGCCTGAGATTGCTAGGGTTTGTGCAGTAATAAAGGCATTATTTTTTTGCATCTGCGTTTAGTCTTGCTTGTTCTGTTATCTGAAATAGGTCACATTACATAGAATTCCATCTCTGTGTATGTGAGATGATGGAGAGTTGTTTGGAACCCTCAATTCTTTGTACCTCAGTAGGCAGTGTGTAATGGCTGATGATAGTTTCTGAGAGAGGTTTGGTTAATGTGGATGACTGCCAAAGACCACTCATAAAATAAAAGGACACTTTCTACTCCTGTTTTGTGACCTGGAAGCTTCCATATTTTATGAGGTTATAGTTCATCTGAGGAGTGGTCACTTTTTAGGTCAGCATTTATTGTGTCTGAATAATATGAATTTATGCGTTATGTTTTACATCAGATGTTACAAAATCCCAAGCAATCTGAAAAAGATTATTTCTCAAGATTACAGAAACATCTGTATGGTCTATGGTCCATAATTCCACCAAATAATGATAGTACAACTCTACAGACCAAGCCATGTGCACATGGGCCTTTGAAGGACATTATGGAACTAACCTATACCACCAAGCATGAGGATGCAAATAGTGTACTCAACATGGGATTGCTGAACATGCAGTCATGATCAAGGATACACAGTGCGAAGGTAAAGCCGTAGCAGGGGTAGGTTGTCCCCAGCACTCAGCAGCTTCTCATAGGGACATCTGTTATGACGTCTTTTTTTAGGCCTCACCACATTTGCTGATCACCATGTTGGCCTCCTCCTAGAGCAATCTGGATCAGGTAAATTCAGCATTTTTCCTCCAAACTGCACTCAGCCCATTGAGTGGTAGAACCCAATTTTTAGCTCCTGATTGAGCCACTATACTCATTCTTTGTGTCCAGCTGTCTGGGGGACATAAATACATCTTTGTGCACTCAATGCTCGACTACTGACCTAAACACCCTCCCCCCCCATGCACACATCCCTTTTTTTTTTTTTTTTTAAAGTACTGGGTCATTGAAATGTGGGGTTCATGCTGCAAGGCAGGCTTTCTTATCACTTGAGTCAGGCCTCAGTCCATGGAGTCCTGATTTCTTATAAGCTATTAAGATGAAGTTGTGGGTGGCTCCTCCATCCCTAATGCCACTCCCAACTGATAGTTGTTCTGATCACTGTGTTGCTCTGCAGCAGAAGATGGACAGACAGACATCATCTAAACTCAGCACCAGAAAACCAAACTCAGTGTTATCTCATGCTCATGAAAGGGAGGTGAACTGGGAGTTAATCTCCAACCCCTGGGTATAGGTGATGGACACCATAAACAACGTGTGCAGATGTGGCCATAGAATCGTGTGGGGACAGGACGATCTGATAGAGCTGTGGTTATGGTGCCCATGGGTGACATACATGATGTAGATGTTGATGTCTGTTGTAACCCAACAGTGTTATGCTGAGCCCAACCTTTGGTTTTTCACTGTACCCCAGACTCACCAGTTTTGTGGTGAAACTCTGTGTAACTTGGGCTTTAAGGCAAATAGGCATGTTTATGGCAAGTTGTCATTAGAAATGTTGAATTGGACTAATGGAGTAGGACCACTCAGGCTAGTCTCAGAATTAGAATTACTGGAGAAAGTCTATTACTAGTAAGGGGACATGAGTAGCACTATAGGTGAATTCGGGCCAAAGATGTTTGAGGTCCATATGTGGTTCTTGGAGGCTAATGTTGATCCAAAGACAGAGTCAGACAGTGGCAGTAAGGCAGGGAGGGGGAAGAGAGATTAATGACGGCTACAGTAAAAAAAGAAAAACCAGAGTTGGGAAATGTTACCTGGATACTAGAGAATGGTCACTCCCTCAAGAGGTTAAAGCAACCAATGAAATAACATGTGATTATGTATGGGACGCCCCACCCCCATTTCTGTAACCTGCTCTAAATGGTATATAAGGAAGTCCCATTTGTTCTTGGGGTGCAGCCTTTGGACTCAAGTCCTCTGAGTCACTGCCAGCTTGCTTAATAAACTTGCTTCCCGAAAACTTTGGTGCCCTCCCTGTCTCTGTCTGAGTCCTCCTGCAACAAGACAAAGGGACTGCTAAGCACTATTAACAGATTTTTCTGACAGTGAGGAGTGGAAGTGGATGGTGATCATTTTACATCATATTTCCATTTTCTATGTATTTTGGAATTCTGGTGCTGAATAATTACATGTTGGAATGAGGGAGAGCAGGGGATGGATGAGTAAGGCAGTGAGGCAACTCTGCCTTTCCACGGGCACAGTGTTGGTAGGCTAACTCTCCACTGATGTATAATCACTAGATAGCAGTTCCTTTTGAGCAGGCCTGAAGAGTTCTAACTCTCCACACAGCCTTCATGACAGGATTCTCTGCTGGTGGAGCCACAGGGAGGCTATATAAAAAATGAAAACATTGAAATAATGTCATGATTCTTACCAGGGTATACTTGTATGAAATTAAAAAACCAATAGCAAGAGAAAGGGTACACTTACAGAATGAACATGTGCTTTTGAATGACCGGTGGGTAATTGAAGCATCAGGAAATGAAAAAACTGACAGAATGAAATGAAAAGAAAATCTGATGTTGAACAAAACCAAATTAACAAATAATCAATATGAGATTCAATCTGGAAAAAAAGCAGTAGAAACACATAAATCAGTAAACACCTCTCAATCATAATCCTAAATGGAAATGGACTTAACTCTCCAGCCAAAAGACACAGGTTGTCAGATTGGATTAAAAAGCAAGATCCAAGAATCTGTTGTCTGTAAGAAACACACCTCAAAACCAAAGACAAACTAAAAGTAAATGGTTGAGAACATTCACTAGCTCTGCCTTTTCCACTACCAGAATGTTGATCTGTTAACTCCACATTGATCCATAACTATAGCATAGTATTAACTCATGAGAAGTCCTCAAGTTTTTTAACTTACCCCAAAGCCATCATGACAGCTTTGCCTGCTGGTGGAGGATCCTTTCTTGGAAGGTCGGGCTGCCTTTGAGAATCCATACCTGTAGGCCTATGGAAGCCCTGAAACTGAGCCAAGGTGACACCCTCAGGAGCAACCTGGATGGCAGGACCTCCACCTGGCCTGGATTCTTCTCTCCTGTTTCTAAAGAAACCTACAAATTGTCCCAGTGTCACTCCAGCTCTTCAGTCGTTAGTGCATGAAGATCATTACATAGTGTTTATTTGCCTTCTAGATTGGAGACATGCACATTTCTCTGAATGAATCTATGCATAGTGTGTCCTTTGAATCAGTAGCCTTTAGGAGCATCTGAAATATCTTCCACTTCCTAGAGCATCCAGTGCTGCTTAGCATGAATGATACATCTCTAAATTTTTGGGTGCCCATTTGTAGAGAACTTCCCAGAAATTTGCTTCTGGTCCCTTTAAGAAAAGAAAGGCTCACCCTTACTGTATAGGGTTCCACTTTCATTTCTAGTGCCCTTGATTCATGTCCAGTGCTGCTCCAGAAAGGACAGTGCACACGAGAGGTATGGTACCCAGCATGCTGTTGTCCCCATTGTGATTGTACCAATTAGCTTCCTGAAAAGGGTCTTTCTCATGATTGGATGGCTTGTTCTAGGTTGGCCTGATGTCCCAGTACTTTCACAAATTTTAGCAGATTTGGGGTCAGATTGATAAGCAGAGTTTTTGGAGCTGTGTCTACCAAGATGTGGCATGAGGGTAAGGTCCCACAGGAGAGGATATCTGCATCACACAGCAGTAGTAGAGTGTCCTGGTCCTCCTGTAGTGTCTCCTTAGAGCTGCAGTGCTTGGTATTGGATCACACAGTCAGGAACCCACAATAGCAATGCACCTGCGTATAGGGATGGTTGACATACCTTGCATTGTCACCACATTTTAGGTCCTTCATTTCCAATTGGTGAGGTCCTCCTGTGTGAGGACATCAGTTTAAACCCATATTTTCTCAGGTGCCAGAGGCTGTTCCAGGTAGAAGGACCACTCTGTGTAAGGGCACACACAGTGTGACTGTTGAGGGAGTTGGAAACATGCTGGTCATTTACGGCATTTTACCTTAATTCTCAGTGCATCGGGAGCCATGGTATATTGTGAACAAAAGTACCAGGTCTACATTAGGCTTTTCAAAGTTTCCCAAAAGCTGTCGCAGTTACAAGGCAGAGGATGACACTGAAGTATAGGGAAGTTGATTCCTGTGTGTAGTGTCTCAGAGCACTCCAGAGTCAGCACTGAGGTCTGAGGCTCAGCTAATTCCATGATCCTGGCCTCCTGGCTCCATGGTGGAATGAGCCTGTGGAGGCCCTTTCAGTCATCTAACTGTCACATAACATTGACTTGCTTTTCAACACAAGAGCTTTGTGTCCCTAAACACTTGGCTGGCACTGACTGAGTTGAGGATGTTCTGGTCCCCAACTCACCCTGCTCTTACACACTGTCTCTGGATTATGTCATACTCCTCTGCCACTATATCTGCATTTGAGCCTAGGGACGATGAAAAACCCTCAGTCCAGGGTTCTTGTTCCAGTCACACTGTGTAATGCATAGTGCTTCACATTGCTTGCAATTAGTAGAATGAGGGTGAAAGGTTTCCCCAGGCACAAATGTTAAAATGTAAATACAGGGAGGTGAGGCTGAACTGTTTCCAGGGACTACAGGATATTTTTCTAATGGGATTGGAGAATGTACGTGTGGCAGATGGGTTTAGAATGACTGTAGAAATTTAAGATTTTATTGTGGAGATGATGGGAGGAATGAAAGGTTGTCACAGAGGAGGAAGAGGATCTGTCCCAGGTCTTAGGAGGTCAACAGACTATGGGGTATGAATGTTTTTACAGGAGTCTAATGCAAAGGTCCAGATAATGTTTGATGGTGAATTGAGTAGTGTGGCTTATGAAGAATTGGGAAATGTGTGTGGATCCTGGATCTCTTGATGAATTAGGCTTTTCTGGTGTCCGATGAAAAAATTTTAATGGATTTACTTTAGGTTCTAGTGTCCAGAAACATGTCATTTTGTCAAATAGATTAAGTGTACCATCAGACTGGGTAAAGATATTAGTTTTCTATACAGACAATAGCTAAAGAAGCAGAGCCAGATGTTGGTTCGTCATACCTGTAATCTTAGCTCCTCAAGAGGGAGATATGTGGAGGATTGCCTTTTGAATCCAGTCCAGAGAAATAGTTAAAGAGACCATATCTCAAAAATACACTGTCAAAAAAGTGCGGTTGAGTGGCTCAAATAATCGAGCACCTACCTAGCAAGCATGAGGCCCTGAGTTCAAACACCAGTAACATGAAGAAAAGAGCTGAGACAAAATGCAGATTGGCTGTTCCAAAGTTGCTTTCCTTGTAAGATGAACAGGGAGACAAAATAGGACAGTGCCTATTAGTTAACA